TTGTTAATTAAAGACTCAAAAACTTTATGTTTTTGCTCATGATTTGGTACAACTTGCTTATTATTACTTATGATAGAAGTACTAGTAGGATAAGAAGACAAGACGGCAGTTAGACAAGTCAGACGGCTCTCCAGAATTTTTTAAAATAGAAATAACAGATGCAATAAGCACTTCTTAAATAGTTTTGAAAGTATAGACGATAGCCCTTTTTATAGACACTGTTGAAAATTTTTCAGAAGTCACAAGAGAGAACCTTATTATAGACACTGTTGAAAATTTTTCAAAATGAATTACAAAATGATCTGAGAATAGCGGGCTTAGGTGTTAGATAAAACATTTTTACAATGATTTCTAGTAATAGCAAACAGACAACTGCTTTCTGGAGAATTGTTTTGGTGATAGATATAGAAGTAATGGTTATAATTAGAAATTGCAGCAGCACAATGAGAGGAAATAAAAAGCACATTTGTCAGCAGGAAGACAAAAGATTTCTACAAGAAGAAAATCTTGAATGGAAAAAGTCCCAGTTAGCTTTAACAACAACAACAACAACAACAACAACAACAACAACAACAACAACAACAACAACAACAACAACAACAACAACAACAACAACAACAACAACAACAACAACAACAACAACAACAACAATAACAACAAGCTATTTATTTTCCATTTAAAATCATTTTTACAATAATAAGGTAAATAATAATAACAATAATAATTATAAAATAATAACCAATAGTAATAATTTATAACAAAAAAAAATTATAAATAATAATAATTACTATAACAATAATAAGTAAAATTATATGTTATTTCTTATTATAATAAGTTAATGATTAGTATGGATGGTGTCACTCATACAGAAGTCTGATCAAAGGAGTGACACTATTTTTTAAAATAATATGACTAATAATAAACATATAGACATAAAACATAGACACACATAAATTAAACTTTTTAAAAATCATATATGTAGGTAATAATAAAAGAGAAAGTAAAAAAAAAAAAAAAAATTAGGATAATTATTTTAGTAATAGAAAAAATTATAACAAAATATTTTTCAGAATTTTTTTAAATTGATTTTGATTAAGATTAAGTGACTTTAAGGTAGTCGTAAGAGGTATGATGATAGGAAGATTCTGATGATGAAGAAAAATGAGATAATAGTTTTAGAGAGATCAAACCATGATCAGTAACTAAGCACTGGCTTGGATAAGAAACAAGACATAAGTCAAATAGTTAAGGTAAATGATTCGAATTGTTTGGAGAGTTGGAAAGTTGATTACTTGTATTAGAGATTGAGAAAGGTAAAAATTGTGGGCTTTAATGCCTGCAGAATCACTGACACGAGTGCCAACCCCATTTAGTATGATGAGCATCAAAGTCACCAACAACAACAATATTGGCTGAAGGTCAAAGAGAAAGGGATCGGTCAATTTGATCAGAAATAACATCAAAAAGAGTCTTAAGATGAAGGAAAGCGATATAGAACAAAGAGAAAGGCAATAGAATGTAGTGTTGCAAAACAAAAGGACATTAAAGAATTGTCTGTGGATTCAAACCTAGTTTCCCGATAAATGGGTGAATTCTTATGAATGTAAATATCCAGGCCAAGCATGTGACTATTGGAATCTTTACGAATTAAAGGAAGATAACCATCAATATGATCACAAGATGAGACAGCTGAACTCAAAATTATTCTCACAAATAGCAAGTAGGTCTGGTGAACTTTGCAAGAGATAAGAATCAATAGAAGAAAAGTTACTTCGAAGACTAAAAATATTATAAATGATTTAGTGAACTTAATGAGGACTTTTTTGTGTTTTACAGGTTTTGGTACTTTATTAATTTTTTTTTTGTTAAAGAACTTAAAGCGCAGATAGTACACTATTTAATAGACCAAGCCTTTGACCACTGCCTCGTTATGTTTAATAAACCAGTAACAAAGGGCTCCAAATGCGACCTTGAAATTGCACACTAAAAATACAAACAAGGATACCATCCATAATGATCCATCCACCTGCCCAAGATAAGTATTTTTATTGAGACACAATCGCTAGACTTTACTCAATCAAGTGACCCAAGGCAGGAGTGTTAAGTCAGAGTTGACTTCTCCTAGCTTTTGACTAAAAAAGTGTATCCTACAAGGCAGCAAAACATGAAGCAGATTGTACTGGGTTACATGTTACCAGTAGCAGGATAACTTGATCTGACAAGAAAATGGAATTTTTTTAATTAAAAAAGAAAATATATTATTTTATTCATATTCATTACAAATAAACTCCATGATAACCAACAAATGATTGAATGTCATTATTTAAATGTAGCACTCTTTTTTATAATGCATATTTTATATTGATTATCCAATTTCCTAAAATGTTACCATTTTTTATTTTCTAAACTTTAAACTTTTTTTTTATATTTTATTTATGCTGATTACTGCATATTGGTTATTTAGCTGGATGATAATCAACAACACATGCAATGCATGACAAATTAGAGCACCCCTCACATGCAAGCCATTGGTTATCTAAGCTATTTACCCAATGAATTTCATAAGAATAACAAAGATGATCATCAGATACTAAAATGCTATTTAAAGTTTGAGGTAAATGTGGGTCTTCTGATTGATTCTTTGGTTTTTAACTTTTTTTACCTGATGGTTTTTTTACTTTCTGACTTGCTCTCTAGCCAATTTCTTTGCAACTTGTTTGTGTAATTTTTGTTTTTTTGTTGCTTGTTCAGCTTCATCCATCTAAAGTCATCCATCAAAAAAATGCAACATTTATCGAAAGCTATGGCATCCGTCGAAGTCATATTGAAAGTAGCTGGTTGCTTTATTCTCTCACCTTTTTGAACTTTTTTATTAAGAGTTGGTGTCAATTGATCTCTGAGTATATTTAAAACTGGTTTGTTTTCCAACTTTTCTAACTTGTTGAATGGCATATTTCAAAGTATCAAAGCTTTTAAGCAAACCTTCACAAATTCTTGACGGTGTGTTTGGTGTATTGGTTGCATTTCCCAAAACTAATAGACTAGATACTGTCCAAGAATCAAATAAATTTTCAATATTGTTGTTTTCCAAACATGCTTGAAAGATGAAACCAATAAAAGTTTTTTGAGAAACTTGTAAACAATTGATTGGAAACCACTCCATGCATTTTCAGGTTTAAACCCACCATTTTGGATGACATCCTTAAACATGGCCAGAAAAGTCATTTAAACAGGCTTTGAAAGTGATTTTTAATCAAATAACTTTCAACTATTCACTTTCATTTGTTATCATTTGCTTTTCATTTAATGGTGCTAGCTCTTTAGGATTTTTTGTTCATTTTCTACAAATAATTTTAACTTTGTCTTTATCAAATTGCACACTCATCAGAATCGAATATGCAAAATGTCTTATCACCTAAATTATGTTGATTATATGCTGCTGCTAATTATTCAAACCAATTCTCATTTATAGATGGCTGTGTGGCCACTGCTCCAATAGTTTGTGTATCACTTACTTTTCTTGGGAAAACTTCTTTGCAATATTTATTTATGAAACCAGAGAACCACTTTCTAGTCAGTTTGCCGTCTTTGAATAAACTAGCTTAATTTGATTCTTTTTAATAATTTTCAATCAACATGTCTTTTCAATTCAATCAACTTATACAATTAACACATCTTTTCAATTCAAGCCTATAGCACTTATAAATTTTAATAAATCAGCAACAACCACTTCAGTAATGCTACTTATCTTTCTTGGCACTCCTTGGTCATTAAATGACCATATTGTTCTGTCAAAAAGAGTAAATTTTGCCATATTATAACATTTATCAGCTAGTGCATGTAACATTCATATTTTTTTCAATAATAACTTGAATAGATGGCTTTATTAAACTGACTTGTTTTTTGTTTAAATTTATCCATATTCTAATAATACAATAATACAACTAATGCCTATGCATTAACTTTATGCACATAAAATAATAAATACCTGTATATATCAGGATTTAAGTGTCTATTTTTTTGATGGTGGCTAATTTATTTTTAATTTTTTTCATGCACATAAAATAATAATTACCTGTATCCGGATTTAAGGGTTGTTTATTTTTTTATTTATTTTTTGCTACTGGCTAATTTATTTTTTTATTTTTTTTCAATCAATGATGATAATTTAATAATTTGTTTTTATTACAATAATCAGCATAAAATTCTGCGCAAAATAGTGTTTTTACTTTTTTATTTTTTTTATTGTTGCAAATCTTTTGTTGCAAAGTTATTATTTTTTTTTTTTTGTGATGAGACATTAGATGTAAGCAGTGAGACAAGGGCTTTTACTAAATTAATAACTTAGTCTAGCATTAATCAAATACTAAGTTTTTCAAATTTTGGTAAAGAAAATTTGAAAAACTTATCTAGTAAAATTTCAAACTTAAAGTCACAATCTTTTTTACATTAAAAATATTACAGAAAAATTTTGATTAGCTAATTCTAACTTTCAATTTCCAAATCTCCTTAAACATCTTTTCTTCAATCTCTATAAAATTTCAACTTAACATTTATTATTATTTATACAACTATTAATTATGTTGTTTCATATATGTAATATAAGTACAAAGTATAAACTTTATACTTATAATACATATATTATGTTGTTTCATACCTTGTATGGTTCAGGAAATACATATATTATATTGTTTCATATTTTGTGTGGTTTAAGAAATACATATATTATGTTGTTTAATATCCTGTATGGTTGAGGAAATACATGTAATATGTATCTTTGGCCAAAAATAAAAAGTTTAGCCAAGTCAATTGTAGTACTTTGACAAACAAGGTTGCAGCGCTGATAAAAAAAAAAAATTAAATAAATTATAAAAATTTATAGATTATAAAAGGTTAACTTATAATCTTTAACTTAAAAAATTATTAAGTTAACTTATAAAATTAAACTATTATTATTTTAATAATTAAATATTTATATAATATGAATTATTAACGAGTACCTCAAAGGCAGTTTTTAACTTTATCTCCAACTGAAGCAAACTCAATGAATTATCCTCTAAACTACCAGCATGCAACTCAACCTTTGAACGAAGCTCAGCATGTAATCTATAATTGAATTAATATGAACAAAAAATAAGAAACCATTTAAGTTTTGTCTTACTTTGAGCAGCTTTCTTAGGCCCGCATTTTACACTATATTAAGTGTGTTAACATTTATGAATTCATTGTTTTTTTTTTAACTTTTAAAATATATAAAACTAATTCATGTTTTTTAAAAAATGTGTCAAAGTAAAAAAAAAAAATTTAATGCAATAAATTTTGAAACATAACATTTTATTTAAACTAGTTTCTTTTTTTTCAAATTCAGAATGTTTTTACTTTTATTTTATATTGTTTTTATCATTTAACTTTATTTGTTTGATTTTACTGTGTTATTGACTGATTTATTCATGGGTTGGCGCAGCATTAAATATACATTATCTGAGTATTAAATATTAATAGTCTAGCCAAAATAGTTAAAAAATAGTCTTAGGTTTACAGTAATTTGCACAGAGCTGAAAACTGGTAAAGATATTGGGGACATTATTACAAATAAAATATTAAAAGCTCCCACTGATCCCACATCTGCAAAAAAAGGTTATTCAAGGACAAAGGTTAAACACTATTAATGGATTTTACTATCTACCATAAAAAATACGTTCCTGTAACTTTTCTCAGTTTTAGCTTGCTTTAGAGGGTTTTACTTATACTTTAGGCGTGGTAAATATATTTAGATGAAATTAAACTTTTATAATTGCGATATTTTTTAGCGACTCCGACTCTGCTAAAATTGTTGCAATTCCGCAACTCCGACTCTAGCTCCACAGCCCTGTTCCTGATATAATTTCTTCTTGCTTTATTTACAATAAAAAATTGAACTATAATTTTTGCTCCAATTTGCTCCTGACATTATTTCTTCTTGCTGTTCACTAGGAAGATTTTTTGAGTTAAAAGCTGTTTTCTTGAAAATCCAGTATAGTTGTATGTTGTGTATGTTGTATGTCAAAAACATACAATGTATATTAAAAAATTTTCCAATATCAATTTTTTTCAATTCAATATATTTATTATCTATTATATCAGGGTGTTAACCAGCCTGATGGCACCGCGTATAAAGTAGAATTCCCAATTTTTTTAAATTTCCCAAAAGTTCAAGAAATCATTAAAAATTCGCTTCCTTCATCTTGCTTTCGTGATTCATATAATTTGCAATCTTTTAAGTGGTCTGTCAATCATTATCTTGCTCTACAATCTTTATCTTTTTTCTTCCAGTAACTTCCAACACTAATTAGTGGTTGCAGCCTTGTTGGAAGCAAAGATGTTTAAAAAAAAACAAAAACTTTTAATCGTGTTATTAACAGGCTTAGATTTTAAGTGTTATACAAGAAATGTAGAAATAATTAGTACACAAAACAAAGAAATTAATAATTAATAAACTAAATAATTAGTACACAAAACAAAACATAATAATTAGTACACAAAACAAAGAAATTGATTTAGTTGATCAAAAACAATTCTTTACAAAAAAAAAAGTGTAGCAAGTCATTCATTTAAAAATAAAATAAAAACTTTATTTTTTAATTGACGTCAGTTGTTCTTTAGTTTTTTCATTTTGTTTGTTACATAAGTTTTTTATTCGTGTTTTTTATTTTAGACTTTGTATTTACAATAAAAAATTTCAAACCAAATGCTGTTTATCTTTTTTGTTTATCTTTAGTTACTAAAGTAACATAGATCTTAGCATATTATTCAAAAAATGATTTATGTGGATGTAATAAATAAATGTCATTTCAAAATTACTTTAAAAAAAAGAAAAGTTTTTTGCTATGGTAATTAAAAACACTGTTAGTAAACTAAATTTTATGGTAAAGCATTTTATTATTAAGTTAATAAAACATTTGTGCTTATAAATATTATAAATTATTTGTGTAAAACATAAAAAAAGAATACTATATTTACATAAATTTTTACTGTATATTTTTACTTTTTGGTGATTTCTTTGTATTCCAGCTGTATTTTTACAACTTTTGCTTGTAGCAAATTTACTGAATTTTTATTTTTTTATTTTTTTATTTTAATTTACTGAATTTTTATTTAGATGCAAAATAAAAGTTTTTTGTTTGCACAACAAGTGCCAAGCTTTAGAAATTTAATAATCATTATCTTGTACATAAGATAATATTAGATGACAAAACTTTCTAGTTTTCTTATTGCTTTAAACCCAATCGTTACCTAAATAAACAATCTAGTATGTCAAGAAACGCTTGTTTAAAACACATATGGCGAGCCATGCTTATCAAAAAGCAATCGATCTTTTGATTTAAATAACTATTTTTTCTTATTGCCGATGACGTTTAAGGCACAGTATAAAACAATAAAGACATTTAAAATTTACACAAACAAATTATTGATAAAAGTTATATTATAAAATTAGCTTGCAAAAATATAAACAATAAGGTTAAAATTGTTAAAAAAGTTATGTTTTAAAAATTTAAATTTTACACTTATAATAAAAAAGTAAATGAATAAGAAAGAATTTTATATGTACAGCCATAAATGGTTATTGTAAATAACCGTTTAAACTTTTTTGAAAAAAATAATATAGCTTCTTTTATCATATTAAATGTTACTTAAAATAATATTTATTTTAATTATTATTATTTAAAATTGAGTTATGCAATTAAAGTAGATCAAAGTATCACTTTGTTAATTATTTATTTGCAAATAATAAAAGATTGTATTTGTTTTCTTGCTATTAAAGAAAAAACAAGATTAAAATTTTGTACTTGTTTGCTACCAAAGAAAAGACACGATATAAATATTGTACTTGTTTGTTACCAAAGAAAAGACACGATATAAATATTGTACTTGTTTGCTACCAAAGAAAAGACACGATATAAATATTGTACTTGTTTTCTACCAAAGAAAAGACACGATATAAATATTGTACTTGTTTGCTACAGAAGAAAAGACACGATATAAATATTGTACTTGTTTGCTACCAAAGAAAAGACACGATATAAATATGAAAAAGATTAGAAAGATTGCTCAGAAAGAAACAATTTGAAAATAAATCAGTTTTTTAATTTTGCACTTATAAAATATAAATTTTCTGTATTTAGTATTGGTGCAACAAGTTTTAACAAGAAACTCTTGTAATGTACAACCTTTTTTTTTTTTAACTCACCAGTCGACAGCAACCTAAATTCCCAATATTGTGATGCTGTATAAATTACATTCCTGGGTAACACCCTGTATATATTGTATATTATTTTTTATTACCAGGTAAACAAAGTAATATAAAAATTCTTTATCATTCTTTAAGAAAATACAAACAAGTTAGGTAGAACCATTAAAAAAAACAAGAAGCGTATCAAATTTTTTGCATTTAAATTTGCTAAATGCAAATTAATATTGCATTAGTATATAGTTAAGTTATTAGTATACTGTTAAATGTTCACATATTAGTAGTGAGATTAAATTTTTCTTTTTAGTAAAGTATATTTAGACTATTTTTTTTAGTATATTTAGTTTTCTAAGATAAAAATAAAGATTAATAGAAACGAAATCATAATATAACATAATTTTAATTGATTACTGTGCATAAATGCTTTAGTATAAACCTAATTTTTTACTTTGGATATATATAACTACTTGGGCCAAACCTATCTTATATTAATATTTATTTATATTTGATAGGTTTAAATTAAATTAAAATTTATCAATATATGAATAAACTTTAATTTTATGTTTTTAATTATGTTATTTCTAAGATATTAGTGGCATTTCAAAAACCATGCAAGTGTGGAATGATAAACATCAAACATTAAAAAAAATCTTTAATTTTTTCTAGGATTTCCACAACTCTAAACAACCACGATTCTGTTGATCATTTAAAATAGAATCTGCTTAACTCTAAACTAAAAAGTTTGTTTCCATAATTTTTTTTTTTTGTG